TCCTCGAGGACTAAGGCAAGGCGCGCGGGTCTAAGGCGGCGACTAGGGCGGTTAGGGTTTTGTGACTTGGAGTGCAAGACAACATCACTTAGGATTCTCTACATATTTAGTTTCCTTCTTTTCATATGATTTCTAGATTGTTTAGGATACTTAATATTTTATTGCTTTATTAGAGTTATAGCTATATTAGGAATAAATCTATTTGATGCTTATATAAAGGCCCTTCTTCTTGTTATTTTTATGATTCAGAAATTAATACAAAAACTCGAACATTTGTTCAAACACTTTGCCTTAGAATTCTTCTTGATTTCTTTTGCAATTTTATCGTTTTGAAGGGGTGCGGCTGTGTGAACCTCCGAGACACCTATCGTCGGTTCAAGGCACGAGTTTGTGGCTTATCGGCAATCGGGACACGCGATCTTCATCAGTGGGACGCGGCGCAGGCGGGAACTAGCTTGATTAAATAAAATTTAACCTAGAATACTTTCAACTTGAACTTTTAACTGAATAACTTAATAACTGAGCTCGAAACTAGGAACAAGCATTATTAATAAAAGTAATTAGTTCAAACTTAGAACTAAAATAATTACTTTTATTAATTACTAAATGGGATATTACAAGTACCACTCAGATCGTTAAACATTATGTCGGAACACATCCGCCTGCAGCGGTTGACATAATATTCCTTCCCGAGCTCATTTCAGGGAAGCCATCAACCCAGCGCACTGAGACACAGTGACCGTAAATAATTTATAATAGCACACTATATATATATTCTTATTTACCAAAATACCAAGTATGTCATCCTAACAGAATAGGAATCACACTTGGTAAAACAAATAAATAAGTAACAAATATATATGCCTATTTTATATTATCTTACAGCTTTAGAGAACGCATCAATCACTGAAGGTCTAGATTACAACAACGGTCAATGAGTCTCTTAATCTTATCCTTCCGTGGTCCTGTTCAATACTTAACATAAGTACTAGTGTAGTTCTCCAGTCAAAGATCAACCGAATCAAGAATACACTACAGTCTTTTTCCAAGTGGGGTCTTACTACCAGTTTAGACTGTGAACAAATAATTTAGTCTTACAAGGAACCGATAGGTGGCCTATCTGTTCCAGACACCACGAACCACACTCTCCCAATGTAAGACAAGGAGTACGATTGCATAAATAAATAAACTGCAAACATATGTACTTTGACCGAAACATGATTGCCAGATCAAAATAGAATTGTTCATATCTGAAAGCCAAGCTTTTACAGCATATCTAACACTACCAACGTGTAGTTAACAAAATGTTTGCTAGTTTGATACGGGTTAGCACGGAAGTGTATGTAAACGATATGTTAGTCAAGTCAGTGTACGCGTCTGACCATGTAAACGATCTTAATAAAATGTTTGCTATTTTGTGTGATTATTCCATGAAGTTAAAACCCTAAGATATGTACATTCAGCATCGGCTCGGGAAAATTTCTAGGCTACATCATAAGCCAGCGCGGGATCGACGCAAACCCTGAGAAGATCAAAGCTGTGCAAGATCTCTGACCGCCAACCTCAATCAAAGGGGTCCAAAGTCTGACGGGAAAGCTCGCTGCACTTAGTCGTTTCATCTCCAAATCGACAGACCGGTGCAAGCCATTCTTCGAAACAATAAAGAAAAATCACAAGTTTGAATGGACCCCCGAATGCCAAAAGGCGTTGAAAGCAATCAAGAACGTCCTCAGCCGAGCTCCGACGATGCAAAAACCACGACCTGGGGAGATGTTATATCTCTATCTGGGAGTCTCTAACGCCGCCATAAGTGCTGCCCTGATCCGGGAGGAAGCTTCATGTCAACCTCCCGTCTACTATTGAGCAAGACACTTCACGATGTCGAGCTGAAGTATCCCCCGATAGAGATGTTAGCTTTCGCCCTCGTGACCATAGCTCGGAAGCTCAGACCCTACTTCCTCGAATATTCCATCACTGTCCTCACCGCTTATCCATTAAGGCAGATACTCCACCAACCTGACACATCAGGTCGGATGGTCAAGTGGGCGGTCGAGCTGGGGTAATACGATATCCACTACCAACCCCGAACAGCAATAAAGGGGCAGCTACTATCGGATTTCATAGTCGAATTCACGCCGGGATTCGAAGAAGTAAAAGAAAGGAGCCTTGGGTGATGTACGTGGACGGATCCTCCACTGCCGGATGAGCAGGCGGAGAGGTCGTCCTCGTAGATCCCCATAAGAAGCTCTTCTGCTATTCAATTCAATACCTCTTCCCAGCGACAAACAACGAGGCCGAGTATGAGTCATTGTTGTCCGGGCTGGCCTTAGCAGAGGCTATAAGCTTGACCGACCTCATCATATAATCGGACTCGATACTGATGGTCAAAAAAATATCTGGAGAATTCGAGGTAAAGGAGCCGAGACTGGTCCCGTACCTCGGACTAGTGAAAAAGAGGTTGGCCAAGCTCCGAACCCGAATCGAGCACGTACCTCGAACAGAAAACGTGCAGGCCGACGTCGTAGCCCGACTCGCCTCAAGTGCCGAGTGGAGAGCGTCGAGTATGTCCAAGTCGGACACAAAGAAGTATAGCCGTCCATTGTCCGCACTTCCATATTATGTGTCGAGCAGACCACCGACGGCGAAGACCCAAGTTAGATAGTCCTGATCAGGTCTTATCTCGAGACCGGGACATTGCCACCTGACCCAAAAGAGGCCAGGCAGCTCCGTGTGTGGGCAGTTTGATTCACGATCGCAGCCGGTGAACTATTCAAGCGAGGGTAATCGGCTGTAACACCCCACTTTTATTTGTCGAAAATCAGAATAAATTTTTCAAATTTATTTCAATAAACACTTGAGGCGTTACTCATTTTCAAACAGTTTATCAATACTTAACCAAATTTTCAATATTCAATCATTCACCAATACTTAAACAATCATCAATACCCAATTATCAATTCTCAAATTTGCAATCCAATAATCAAATCATCCTAGGGAGTACACTCCCTATCAATAATACAATAATCAATAATAAAGAAAGCACTAATAGCAATATTCAGTTCTAGGCGGAAGCAACATCAATTATTAAGACCACCACTCGCATCCCTCCGCCGTGCCCGCAACACTAACCTGCATCCATGAAGAGCAGGTGGGGGTGAGCACAATAGGAAAATCGAGGTGCTCACCGCTATGCAATAATTAATATCAATAATCATGAAAACAATTTAAGTATGGTCGCAGCATGTATACGAATCAATAACAATCCCATCTCCTATCAATAATCAATAATGAGTCTCATGTGCACACCTATAGCAATAGACTACTGCCGAACTATATACCGAACACCTTATCTAAGGTCTTACAACGAGTGTCCGGCCAGCAGGAGCAATAATCCACCCCGAATGCCAAAACTTACGCCTTGGCCTTACATACGAGGATCACCAGCCAAGGCTCACGCCCTGACTGCCAACAATAATAAAGGAGACTACCCAAAGGTACGTTCTATAGCTACGGGGATAACCGTTCGACGGCCAATATAGCTCACATCGAAGGCTACATGGTCCACATGCATACATTGATCATACCATAGCAAAAGCAATTAATCAAGGCATATCAATATCAAATAAAACCCACCTGATGTTCGAAAATGCCAAAAGCAAGTGCTCATGGTAGGTTCGAGGGCTCGACTCCTCGGAAACCTAAAAATTAGGAATTTAATTATTATTAGGGGTTTTGATTCGGTTGATTAGGCCACACAAGCAAGGCAAACAGAGCAAGTAAGGCACACTTCAACAAATAAACCGCATAAAAGGCTCAGCACGGAACATGATCAATCAAAGCCTACAACACAACCAACTAGAAATTTTCACACACATAAGGTCCAACACAGAAGCCTTCTCTTTATTTTATTTTGGCTAGCACTTGAGCACGATTTTCAAACCTGTGAAACTGAAATTCATCTCCACTTTAGCCCATAGGACAACACATAATTCAGTTATGGGCGCATAAAATTTTTAAAGGCTCCGCTCAACAACTATACAAGGCTACCTTGAAATGAACAAATTTCAACTTAACTAAAATGGAGCAATACGGAGGACTTATCATCCTGAACAAAGACTCAGCATACTTGGCATAGTTTAGGCAAAAGAACTACGCACAACATATCCATATAACAGCCCCCGAAATGTAAACAAGCAAGGCAATTTCACGTAAACAAATCCTCTATTCTCAATCAAAAGTTATATCTTAAATTTGAACACAACATTAAAGCCTCATGGCTGGGCCTAAAATATGAATTTCAACACCATTTTCAAAATTTTAAAAGCAAGATGGAGCTCAGGCCATTCACCGCAAACTAAAGCCAATACCAAAATAAGATGCTTCCATTTCTCTTCCAAAAATTCGAACAACATTTAGGCATCACAGACAAGCCTCTAAAATTGGACAACACATGTTTTCGGCACATAAACACATGCTTGCAGCCTCAGTTTATCACAAAAGATCAAAGTACAAAGAGCACGATATTCAAGCACCTCTCTCCTGAAAAAAAATGTCAATTTCCTAAGCACAATGAAAGGGTGATAACTCTGTTCATGCCTAATCAAATTTAACATATCATCAGCATGGAATCAAAACCTCTGCACCAACAGTACACAGAATAGCAATCCCAACACAACTTAATAAGTAAGACACCATTTCACTCAACATAGACATAACTTTTCACACCGAAAATTAAGCACATAACATCACTTATATTCGGCCAAAACAGAGGGTATAAATCTCACCTTCTTAGGGACGAAAAGTACAGAAAGAATGGGGCTCGATTTTGATGAAATGGCTCTCGGCTAATGACTTTCAGCCCCTGCACGAGATAACGCGGGGCTCTCCGGTCACAAAACGGGGTGTTTGGATATTGAACAATAGCTCTCGGTCCTGTACTCTCGACTCTCGAAGGCTGCATTTCAACTTCGGACAGCTCGGGTCTCTTCACCGGAAAGCTGATGCACTCGGAACTTGCTCAGCTTCTTCGGACTGATGCGCGGAAAAAGGCTAAGCTCGGCTGGGACGGCTACTCTCGACCGCTCCGCCATCCAGTGGTGCTCGGAATTGCTCCCCATCAGAGGAGTTCTCGTATTGTCTGCGGCCTCGACATGTCACCGGAAATTGGAGCCTCGATTGCGATCAACAGGGCCTGCTCGTCAGCCACGAAATTCTAATCCAGCCGTAGAAGATTTTGGCTCTCCCTCGCCGTCGCTGATGGACTCGTCAGAAATCAGGTGGCCTTCGACTCGCTGCTGAATAGCCGGCTCATGTCAGCCACCGGAAACCAAGCTTCTTCTGTTGTCGTGGTTTGCCCTCCCCACCTCGCCGTTCGCCACAAATTGAGAGTCGCCGGGACTGCTTGCTCCAGCCCATAAATCGCTGCTCTTGGTCGGAACCCGTGCTCGTTGGTCCGCCGTGAAAACACCGATCTCTCAGTCGCCGGAAATAGGAGCTTCGATCGCCGATTCTGCTTGGTCACGGGATTTTGAGATCGGGAAAAGTCGGGAGGCGGCTGAGGTCTTGCTATGGTTTAAATAGAGACGGTTTAGGGTTGCATTCTGGAGGGGATGCCGTGGTTTTTTGCCGGAAATCTATTACTATATAATACGGAGAAGAAAAATTATTTGAACAATTCGAAAATAATTATTTTGTTTTCCCGCTTTAATATAGTGTTTTCCCGCTTCTTCAATTCGTAAAATTTCTTTTTGAATTTTTTCAGCCCATGCAATTAGGTAACCAATCAAATCGAATCTTTTAGCATTCAATTTAGTAAGGTGTTCCGATTTTAGCATTCAAATTCGATTTCACTTCCTTTTTTATGCCAATCAATCCGATTTTTTTGGTTGTTTCAAAATTTGTTTAGATTTATATTTTTATTTTATTAATATATATGAAAGAGAATCAATAAATGTTTATCATAACTTTTATTTTAAAAATAAATTTAAATAAGCCTACCTTTTACTTTATATGAAATTCAAAATTACATATTTTAATATATTAATAAACGTTTATTATTTATTTTTTCCTTATGTGGTATAATAGAATTTCGGTATTAAATTTGTAAATTCAAACATTTAAAGGAAAAGATTCCAAACAATTTTTTTGGGTAAATTTCATTTTATCTTGGTTTTCATTATCACATTTCTAACAAACTAATTAGTATTATATTTATTTATCTACATTATCTAACCGATTTTTTATGATACAATTAATATAATATCTTAACAAATTAATCATTTGTCTAACCGAATTTATCTCTCTAACAAACTTGTCAATTTTTTTAAAATAAAAATGGTATGATTATTCTTATGGAGATACTTATCAATATATTAAATATTTAGAAACTTTTTTTAAAAAATGAGTTATCCCTCCTTTTACTTTATTTGAAATTCTGACTTATATTTTTAAATATATTATTATTATTTTTTTACGTGTAAATATTTATTATTTATTATCTACGTGATAAATATTATTGATTTATCTCTTTAATAAATATTTATTATTTATTATTAACTTACGTGATATAATGTAAATTTGGTTAATAGATTTTTAAATTCAAACATTTAGGAAAAAACCACGAACAAATTTTTTGGTTACATTTCATTTTATTTTAACCTTCATAATCACAATCCTAAGAAACTAATTAGTATAATATTTTTTACCCATTTTTATATAATCGAATTTCTTAAAATATAATTAATATAACATTTTAACTATTTAATCATTTGTATAACTTGATTTAACTCATTATCAAACTTGCCAAATTTTTTTTGAAATTAAAAAAAATTTGGAAGATTTTTATTTGTAAAATAATAAAAAATAACTTTACTTTAAAGTCTGGATTATTTCCATTATTTTTTGTACGTTAACAATCATATATTTTGGATTATTGATTTAAAAAAACAAATCAAAACCGTAAGGTTTAATAATATTTCTTAAATAAAAAATATTATATAAAGAAAAGTATTTAATATTATATATTTTTCGTTGATTGTATTTATTTTATTTTCATAATAGACGAGATGTGAAAAATATAAATAATTATATTTAAAATAAAGTCTAAAAAATGTTTAAAATATGAACTCTTCCGTGCATCGCACGGGATATACACTAGTGTGGGAGAGCGGTTGAGCTGCGACTGATTCTCGTGATGCGTCGTTCTGCTGTTCTGTCAAAATGAAGGAGATGGGTTGCTTCTCTTGTTAAAAGGGAAATGGATCGTGCAGTTGGGCCGACTCCTTTTTGACAGAAATTTTGGGCCGGATACAAAGGCTAAAGGGGTGAGGTGGAAGGCTTGGGCCAAAATGCTTGCTTGGCCTTTTTAAATACTTAGACCAACAATTACAAGACTTGCAAAATAGGCACAACTTAACATTAACGAATGATACCCGACTAAAACACTTAGGCAAATAATTAAGATCAATAAACCAACAAGACTAATTAAGAAGATGAGGACATCTCTTTAATCTATAATTTCGATTGGGTAACATTATTGGGAAAATTAAATAGACGAGGACATCTACTTAATTCTCCTTTCAATTTAAGGATTCAGATTAAAACCGAAACTGCCACTTAGTCGAGCAAATAAAATAAAGATAAACAAAACGCAAATAAAATAATCATATAAAATCCAGAAAATTCTAATAAACGAATGGGGCGTTACATCGGCACCCTTACTAAAATGCGTGGGTGAGGAAGAGCGTGTGTGGTAACCACTCTGGAGGATACGCCCTCGCTCACAAAGTTTTGAGGCAAGGTTATTATTGGCCGAGTGTAGCGCCCCATTTGTTCCGAAATAAATGTATATTATTATTTGGAATTTATTTTATTTTTCAAATTAATTATTCGGGCTCGATAATTTATTTCGATTATATGCTCGTAATTGCTAAATTGTAGTAATTTTAATGTCGAGCCGAATAGTATTATTTATTTTATTTTCGGTCGAACCAAAAATATTAAATAACTGAGACTTCAAACCGAGCGAGTATCCGTGTTAAATTAGCGAGCCGGGCCGCCAAAAACCCGCATCCACGTGAGAAACCGGAACCACCGAACCCCTTTTCCTTCTCTCGTACATGCATGCAGTTTGTTTGAATTTTTGAAATTTATTTCATGCCTTATCCCCAAAACCGTGGCCATCCTCTAAAATCATGCATGAGATTTAATCTTTGAGATTTTGAATTCAAATGGAATTTAAATCCCTCATTTCATGCCCTTTGACCGATATTATGAGATTTAAAATCCTACCTTAATGCTATATGTAACCCCCTCATCTTCTCCCTCACTCATTTCTCTCCATTTCTCCCAACTCTCTTCTTCACGTCACGCCCCCTCCCTCTCGCCCTCTCATCCATCTCCCTCCCTCTCTTCCTTATTTGTTCGCCGGAAAAACCCCCAGCCGTCGTCACTCCACCCTCGCTTCTCCACGCGCGCAGCAGCCCGCCGTAGCGAGCCACCGTCCCGTGTCCCTCGCCAAGACAACAACTCCCCGACGACCTTCACTCGTCCATTTCGCCATCACGAACCACCGGAGACAGCACTTTCGTCCAGCGAGCCAAGTGGACGATCTTCCCCGCCCGTAGGATTTGTCGTCTCCAAGCTCCGTTTTCCGAAATCAAATCTCAATTATCCTCCCTTTTGGTGTTTGGTAAATTCATTTTACTAAAATCCACAATCTTTATGATTATGTATGATGTTCGTGAATTAGAGATGTGTGGATGATGATATGCTCGATTCAAATAATTTTTCGTCTAATATTCATCGAATATCATTAGCTGCTATGAAATCCTCACTATGTTCATTCGTTGCTAAGGTATTAGTGATATTTCTCGCTGTCGAGACGTTATATGAACCATGGTGAAGATTCGATCATCTATTGTACATGTAATTGTCATTTTATGTGAAATCATAATTTTCACTGTTCTGTTATACTGCGATTTGAGTTATCATAGACTGGTTATTTGAAGTTATGACCTTCATGAGAATTGTAGTATATTCAGTTTTCTATATCTGGGCTTTAGAATTTCTCAATTCCGAGCTATATCGATAAAGTTATGATTTTTACAATATTTTTGTGTGTCCAGTTTTTTCTGTTACCTGGCAGCATATATATCTTTAATGTATGACCCATTTTTCATGTCATAATGTGCTCGTATGAACTTATGCCCTTCATAAAAGTTATATATCTGTTTTGTACCTTTCAAATGAAATAAATTTCATGTTGATATGTGCTCTGTAGCTCGAGTTGTGTTCTTATGAAATTAGATATGCATGAGTTAGGACTTATCACTTTGGCAGAAATCTGAAGTTTAATGTTAACCGATTTATCACTATCTAAATGATCTTATATTCTTCTGTGTTCTAAATGAAAATTGTAGAGACATGCTTAAGGTTTAATTGGAGACTTGAGCCATGTCATTTTTAGATCTGTTCAAGATAAGTGATAAAATCTGAGGTGCTGTCCTTATCACATATTAGTTTTTGACAGTTCTACTGAATCACATATTTTGTGTTTAAAATCATTGATAATGTGATTATTTGCTAATGTGTTATTCAACAAAGTTATAGAAATTTGAGTTATCTATCATGTGGTTTTTGAAATTCATTAAAATCATACCTGTAGCTCCAGTTAGATAGTAATTACGGAAGTCTGGTCAAGTTTATTTTCTCAGTTTTGAACTGTGACTCAAATTTTAATGTTTGTTGATTTATCACCTGTTAAATGACCTTATTTTCTTTCAGTATCTTCATAAGAATTGTAGATTTATGTCTTAGGATTCCAATTCAACTTGATTCATATTCATATCAGTTGTGTGCTGAAAATTATGTCAGTTTTAAGAATGCTGCCCGGGTTAAGTTTTCAAAACTTATGTGATATTCGGATATGTGATTCCCTTGGTTTATTGCATGCTTAAATGTTTACGTGAACTTAGTTGGACTAAGTAATTATAGAATAGTCTTTGATAAGGTTATTTAATAAATGTAGGTGTTTGACGAGTCGACCTCGCCGCCTACCCTTATTTAGTGTTAATCTCGATCGCTACCAGATGGGTTCATTTATGTTGAATCTACATTTATCGCACTCGTTATTTTGTATAAATGTTTGTCGCGATAGCTTTCGTATGCGTGAGAACCCTAGTCTAAGTGTCCCGACGGTAGTGCCTTTGACGAATACATAATCAGTGGACGTCACCTGCCCGTTGTATCCGGGAGGTGGACGCCCGAATCCGTGTAGAGCAGAGGGGTATTTCAACTTCACTGTCTCCTGGATAAGATCCTATGGCCATTGCGGGGTAGGAGTGCTTCCAGTTACATCCTTGCCGTTGTCTGTGCGGAAATGGTGAGTATGATGGTTGTAGTCACCCCCATTTACTTT